CTAACATGAGAGCGTCGTTTATGTGGAAAAAGGAATGGAAATGGGAAGCCTTGTGGCGCCCGCGGTCCGCCAATTCATGACAATCACCGACTGGCTAATTGTAGAACATCGTCAACGGAACACACAAATATTTAACTTTCGTGTTTAGAGACAGAATACCCTGCCTCTATACCATATTGCCTGTCAATGGAGACAAGACTATGTTTATTTTCAGTAAACAAAAGACTGCAGAACCAAAAACATCCTGCTCAGCATGCAAACAGGAGGCACTGTAAATATTTCTTCCATTCTTTCAATAACATTTACACGCTACATGTTGATTCACTGTTGAAATTACAGAACATCACCTCATAAATCTGTGAAATCCAAGGGGAGATCGTTTTGGAAGCAAAAGAATTGGGATAATCTCAAAATTTAAAGGAATTTAAAAAGCCACTACTACTACTGCTGCTGCTGCCGCCACCACTACTGCTACTACTACTACTACTTCCTCTTCTTCTTTAAGGCGGGTAGGTAAAGGTATCCCTGTCACAGGCCGTACTACTAATACTACTACAGTTATATATTTTCAAAATTCTGTCTGATACACGGTTCGAATCCCTAGATGGTAAATCAATTCATCGAAGAGCCACTACTACATCAGGGATCAACACGAGAAAACAGAGCCACCTAGCTTCCAGTTAATTCGTTTGTGCTTGGACAGCCTCTGTAGTCTAGTTGTTAGAGTTCCTGGTTGATCCAGAGGTCCGGGTTCGATTCCCGGCGCTACCAGAGAAGTAGTGGGTCTGGAACGGGGTCCACTCAGCCTCGTGATAACTGAGGAGCTATTTCAAGGAAATAGTGAATCCGGTCTATAAAACCGAAATTAACAGCCGTGGGGATTCGTTGCACTGACCACGCGACACCTTCTATCCGCTAAAGTTGGCACTAACTTCGCCGACAAGCGGCGGTCGCTCGGTCGGTATAGTTCGCTTGCGGACTAAAACCACGGAGTTTGTTTATAGTTTGTTTTTGTTGTTTTATGCGGAAGTGAGCTATTACAGGTTTGTAACGTTAGTAAGTATAGGTTTACAGGAATGTAAGCACTTCAGAGGGTCCACAGTGAACACCTCAATTAAAAACAATTAAGTTCCAAGACTGAACATCATGATGGACTGCTTGGCACTCCTGCTTCGTATTCGAAAGGTTCCGGGTTCAAATCTCATCAGGAGACAGACCACCCTGACAAGCTTTTCGTGGGTTTCCCCAGTCTCTCCGGACAAATGCCAGGATGTCTTAAATTAAACCACGACCACTTCCTTTCCATACCCTTTCAAATTAATTATTCACTAATCATCCCTTTATGCAGTGCTCTATACTCTCAGCAACTGAAAGCACTGTTAAATGAACAAAGAATCAATTAATTTCTAACCGGCTATGGATATGTATGACGTCTGATCATGGTCCATGAATGTCACTTCAACGACAATTCTTAAAATGAACCATAGTCAAAATCGTGGCACAGCTCAGTCAGTTTAGCGAGGGGTACGGGCTAGACGACCGTGGTTCGATTCCATGGAGGGACAAGAGATTATTCTCCATTCGACAGCGTTCGGACCAGATCTGGGGCCCACCCAGCCTTCCATTCACCGGGTACTGGGGCTATTTCTACGGGGTAAAGCGAAGGGGCGTGAAACTAAGCATTCACCTCCGTCTAATGCCGAGGTCAATGGTGAAGCTACACCTCCATTACCCCATACATCTTCATGGCGTGGTGCTTATTCGCTTGACCACAGCGACTTTACCTATACCTCATTGCAGTCCAGTTTGCCATCCAAGTGAAAATTATAGTACGTGTTTGCTATATTCGTCCTTCACACATCCAGATCCAGCAAAGGAAAATCTAAGCCCATGTTCTATACATTCCTTGCAGGTAGGGTCCCACAACGTAACAATCGAATTGAAACAAGAGAAAGTGTCTAAATACTCGTGCACGCCAAAATGAAACTGGCCTGTATATTCTTGATAATACAGAAGTATTTCAGGTGCTTGGTCTTTCTTATTGAGGGTAAAGGTAAGGGTAAAGTTATCCTTGTGCTTAACTAATTAAGTAAAACACCATGAAGACGTATGGGAGTGTATGTATATACCCATGTTTTCTTGACCTCGGCACTAGTTCGAGGTGAGTGGTCAGCTTCACGACCCGGTCGCTTTACCCCCGGGTAAAGAGACCCCGGTACCCATTGGATAGGCGGCGGGAGTAATTTATAATAGAAATTTCTTAGAATCTACTTCTTACGTCAGAAATCAGTGTTTAAAGATGAAACTGGTGACTAGAGATAACCTCACTATCGATGTGTGAGCGCATCTGATATCAAGCTCAATGTTCATATTAATGGCATAAAAATATTCCAATAGACGTCTGCTGGTTAATTAGAACAGACTTTTTTGTTGTTAAGTTCATAAGCTGAGGTACTGTATGTCTAGTTAAGTGTTCAGTAGGCATGTTTCAAACAAAATGTAAGACTTCAACAGGATGAGAATCTAACGTTATGTGTTCTTTATTACTCCTTTTAAGATACGAGTATATTACATTTTCCTAATTTCCTGATAATGTATCCTTAAATCGTGGTCATGGAAATCCCGTGAGTGAGTTAGAGATGGGAATGATTTTAATGTAAGACATGCCCATTTTGTCCCGGAAGGCTTTGTTTTGTTTCAATAGTTTCCTGTGGTTAGGGGAGTCCTAAATTGATGGAACTTGCACGCACTAAATATAAATTAATTTCCTGTCGTAACATCAAAATCCAGATTCACATGAGCGCGCGCATACAGGTACACTCAAATTCAAAATGAAAACACAGACTAACAATGCCTAATGATATCTGCTAGAGGAAATATCTGCTGCAGCATTCAGTTATGACTTCTCAATTTATTGCGTAATCTAAGTATGATTTCACGCAGGGCTGCCATATTCTTGACCTATCACACATCAGAACTTCATCTCTACGTGAGGAATTTTAATTTTATATTTCGATAATTATATAATATTTTTAAATATTTTTAGTTATTTTAGTTGTGTAACATCTAAGTCTTTATTTGTATCGCTAAAATTCTAGATTCTTAATATACAATAT